TTGTTGTTGTTGTTATTTAAGTTATTACTGCCTAACGCAATCATGTTTGTATTGGCCTTTTTGTATTGTAGGTTTCTGTTAGCATCCTTCTTCTGGTACTAGTTACGGGCCGTGCTAAAGGGCAACCTAGGTAATTTCCTTTTCCAACTTTTTTTCATATTTTTATTTGTTGTTGGGTGTAGGCAAACTCCATATATGATTTTTAAAATCAATTTATTCTTGCAATATGAATAATCAGCATATCTGCTTCGAGTACAATGGAATAATAGTAATCACAAAACATAGTATGCACCACGCTATTCAAATGCAGCTTATTCCTAAATTAATTTGCATATACTTTAATTTATTACATAATATGTTTGTCACCTTGACCACAAAAAAAGATATAAATACAACAAGAAGTAAAATGAGAAACATAAATTGGGAAATTTTTTCTTCTTCAGTCATTATGAGATTCACAACTATCTCTGTAAGCATAGTCCCACAGAGATGTTTTTGGGAAAACTGGTTTCGTGTCTTCATTGTGTGATAACTTGTTTGCACCCTTCTGATGATGTAATCTCTGTTTCAAATTGAGCACCACGCTATTGCATCAGGTACATTCCCTGATGCAATATCTTTTGAAGATGATGTAATTAATTTGAGATTGGGTATGTTAAGCTTAAAATATCTGCAAGTGACTGGTAAACCAGCTATCATCAGGTGCCATGTCCCAGAATTCAAGATAGTTCAGTCGTTTAACGAAATTACAATGGCTTTCCTTTGTTCACTTACCTGGAGGTGAAGAGTTCCAGACGCTTGTGTCAAAGTATCCAATTTAGTAAAGCCGAGGTGCTTGGTTGATGAACCACAAGGTGATCAAGACGCATTATATTTGGCTTCCAGGTTTAGACTCTCTGCATCAACTCGAATCACTCGAGCTCTGCTGAGGTGCTTGGTTGATGAACCACAAGGTGATCAGAGATGCATTTGGCTTCCAGGTTTAAGACTCTCTACATCGACTTAAATCAAATCGTCTACCATGGAATGATGTTTCAGTTATTGGTAGGTTAATCAAACTTGGAAGTGCTCAAGTTGAAGTCCCATGCATTTGAGGAAGAACAATGGGGTGTTGGAGATGGAGAGTTCCAAAAATTGAAAGTCTTGGAATTTGAGGATATGGACATTCCACAATGGAACGCTTCTGATGTGTCATTTCCCAACCTCCAAAGATTGGTTTTCGATATACAGTCAGAACCTTTCTACAACAACATCCTCATATGACGGCCATTCACCATAAAAGTCATATTTTTCTTGGAACCAATTTTTATATTATGTTATAATATATGTTTCCTATAACAACAATTTACTATAGCAGCCAAAAAATATCGGAACAAACGAGGTTGTTATAGGGAAGATTGATTGTAGTATAAAGAGGGACATTCCCTCCAATCTTGGTTACCATTATTGTGTTGGTGCAATGGCAGCCACTCTGTGATGGACTCATTAGAAGACACCAAGGAAATTCAAGTTCAGGCGATGGGAAATCTTGAATTTAAGCTTATTATCAAAGTCTATAGACGAGGAGCCAATGTGTCATAGTGAAGGAGAACTCGGGCAGATTCAGCATGTTGACTCTGTATTCTTCATGTTCTTTTCTTGATCATATCCACGTTTTCTCATTTGAAATTGTTGTACTATATATTTACCAAATGTTAGGGAATAATTATGGGTTTTTCTCAAATTTGTTATGACATAGAGGCAATGAATCAATTACTTCTTCAAACTCAAAACCCCTTTAACCTCTCTGTTTTCATAATACAAACATCTTTAAGGCAATAAGAACAGAACTAGGCATAATTTTAATGCATTTGCTTAGTGCTCAATTATGGACCTATAGATGTTGATTCTTTAATTTGGGATTATTAAAGCATTTTCCATAATTTTTGAAAGATCATCTGCCAAGATGAAGGTGAACGAGTTATCAAATATAAAGGAATTGATACACAGTAGTTGTCCCAATTCTTAAAGTCAACTGCCAACTTTCGTTGTTTTTACATACTTTTAATTGATGAAATAACGGTTAATAAACGCTTCTGATCTTTGATCATGTTATGTTACGAAACAATAAAAGAATGAAGAAGAGTATTGCAGAGAAAAGTAGAGAGAATTCTTATTGATTAGGATCAATTATAATGGAATAGAAGAAGAAGAGTATTGCAGAGAAAAGTAGAGAATTCTTATTGATTAGGGTTCAATTATAGTGGAATAGAATCCCTCTACTTATAGGGGAAAAGTAATTTAGCCACCAAGCAACAAACCTTAAAATATCTCTAAAATATAGACATTCACCTTAAATAGAATTCTATTTATAACATCCCCATTGAATGTCTATTCAACAGATAATGTGTCTCGTTAAAATTTTAACTAAAATAAA